CTGCTCTTTCGAACAGTTTTGATAACCCTGAGAGAAGGCTGATTGATCGATAACTTGAAGGAGAGGACGGATCCTTCCCAGGTTTCCGGTTGGGTATGACTTTAACTGACCTCCAACACGAGGGGAAGTAGCCAAGTCGGAGGCACAAATTAAAAATCAGTGCCAGATGGTTGTGGAATGTGTTTGAGTTCCAGATTCAGGATGATGTCGAAATCTTTAGGTTATGTTTTAGGTTATGATTTGATATAGACCAACAGTTTGTCAGCCGTAATCTGATGGAGATTGGTTGCGTTTACAGCAACTTCAGCTTTGTGAGGGCTGACGATGTTTTGTCCGAGATTATGGGAGCTGACGAAGTGTTGACCTATCGCGGCAGCCTTCTCTTCATGAGTTATCAGATGAAACATTGGGTCGCCGGGACTATCCAGTGGGGTCAGTGGTGGAATGGGTCTTGGCTTATTGTTAAGGATTTTGGTTAGTTTCCAAAAGGGTTTTGCACAATCTGGGAGAGCGGATCCTGTTAGCAAAGTTCTGATTTCTGAGGTTGTAACGGTTCACGCGTTACGAGGCCAGAATCAGACAACTTTCTCCACTTATGCGCCAAGCAAGCGGTTCTAATCTGCTTGCATGTGGATCAGCAAGTTTTCCCGGCGAGACTCCTCAAGGCGGGTCTTCCTGTTTCTCAAATAATCCCGACAACTCGCTTCGCAATCTACCGTCCCATTCGCAACCACAAAAGAAACCAACGATGGGAAAGATGTATCGACCGAAAATTAAACAACACGTTGATCAACCTCCGACTTTCTTTCGGTCTGTTGCTTGTGCTATTGAAATCTATTCGATATTACTTGCTTGAGCCTCCTGGATTTCATTTTTTTTTTTTATTGTTAGTGTTTCTCACCTTCTAGGTCTAATGTTTTTTTTTCTAGTTTAGCTTGTGCGGTTCCGTTTCTAAACTGTGAACGTTTATTAAAAACTAAATAAAATCTCTGACCTGGTTGATCCTGCGACGGATCGGCGAGTCCTTACTCGGATGTCCTTCCTCGATGGTACTGTTGCATACAGCCAACGGCTGGTCAGTGAGCGAGTCTAGCCACCGACGATGAGTGAGTCGATCGTATTCAGCGGTGTACTAGCTGGGACACTAATGCGAACTGGCAGTGCCACCTACCGGAATCTCGGCCGTGGTGTTGCAATCCTCACTGATTCGTACCGCTGTATCGGCGTTCGATCAAGGCGGTACCAAGTTGAACTATTGGAGAGTGTGTGTCCGTGGAAGCGGCGGCGAATTCGACGGCCAATTAGCCAAGCCACAGTTGGTGGACTGAACCGACACTCGAACGTGGGGGGCAAAAATAGCCGAGCAATCGATGGTGCGTATCCTTGTTGGCGTCAATCGAAATTCGCACCCGGTGTCCTGATGATATACGCGGTCAACTTTTGCACCGAATTCCCTTCGAGCCGAAGAGAGGCTAAATTCGGTAGTTGGCTTCCGAATTCCTCTCGGGAAGGCGCGGATGACCTTCGAATGGCCCTAGAGGGGCGAATGCTGGCACGACGACGAGGACAGGCCTACAAGCCGCCGAACTTCTGATTCGTCCCTAGTGTAGCGTGACAGGTCGCTATTCACTACACCCGGTGGGAACACCTTCACTTGAAGGATGATTGGTGTCCTTCAAGGAGAATTAATAAACGTTCGCATTACAAATATGAAAAAACGTGGCACTAGCACATAGTTAGGTTGTATTATATAATTCAATATTACCTGCGACTCGAGGGAATAGTACCCGTGCGGCAAAGCACAGCAGCACGGTTTTTTCTAGTCTTTTCCTGATTAAATTAATTAAATTTAGATTCATTTTCCAAAACTACATGGTATTATTTTTTTTTACTGACTATTCAATTAAAAAAAAAACTAATGCACAAGGGCCGTTTAATTTTCTCTTTTTTCCACCTTTAACTTTTACTGAAAATATAGTTCTAATTTCAAATTTAATTTCATTTAATGACACTTGTCCAATAACACTCACTATAGTTCCTGATTGGCGTTCACTCACTGCTTTAATGCACTAACTGACTTTTTTCTGGTACGTCTGTTCTATTCGCCGATCAGATAAAGAAGAGGTTGATCATCGCCTCATGGTATCTATTCACCCCAAACTTAGCCGACGCGGTTTCCCAGGCTTTTGTTCTCTCGGAATGTACATAATCAGTACGTCCTTGAGCTGGCTATTCGTTATCATTTCTTAGGTAGAGAGATGAGCCAAATAGGATTACATAACGAGTTGTTTTTTTAAATTTTGTGGTTCAACCTCTCACCACTAGGGGCGCTCAGATCAAACGAAAGTGCAAGAATAACCCTTGCTATTCCCATGCTTCAAATTAAATATTCTGCGGCATGGGGCAAAAAAATAAAGTAAGTTGTACATAATTTTAGCCTGGTATCATTTTGTAACATCGTTACATTTCCCCCTTACTTCGTAAAAAAAATATAAGTTTACCAATATTTTTTTTGGAGACACATCTATTCTTTTACTTAAATTTTGTACGGAACAAAACCCAAAAAGGAAAACGAATCCAAAATAAATCTCACCTTTTCTACTAGCGACTTCTATCCATATTGTATTGGAAAGTGGCTAAAGTTGGTTTTCAAAATTCACTTCAGTTTCATTTTACACTAAGTTAATTCTAAATTGTTTTTTAATATCTTAATTTTTTACTTAAATTACAGGTATTTTACTCTAGCTATATTTAAACTATTCATTTGCCTTCAATTTTCGATTATTCGCCGAACCATTTTAAATTTTTGTGTTGTTCTCCGGATTACCTTCACACTATTATAACCTTCTTCTGATTCTGCTTCGTCCTCTTCTTTCTTCAACCAAAAGTTGCCTATCGACCTATTCAGGTATTCGCAGATAATATTCCGCTAAACATACGACAAACAATTGGAGATAAAACTCCTCCGTCAAGTAACCACTCGACTATACAACGCAACGAATCGTACCGAACTGGAACACTTGGTTCGCTATTTCAGATTGCTATCCGAACAATACTTTGCAACTATCCGTCCTTAAACTACTCTCTACTATTGACAAATTCACTCAACCAAACGGTAATCCGGTATACTACCCAACGACGGTACTTCTTCTACTGCCCGCCTCAAATCTGCTTTATCGACCTATTCTTACAGACGACCGATCCCGGCTGCGGCTAGTTATAATATGGAAAAGAACCGGGAAAATTTTATAAAACTAATCTATTTACATTCTAACATCCTGATCTCCTACTTTGGGATCAACAACGGAGGAAACAGCGAACTGACATCTCGACGTTGGATCTTATTTGTTTACCTCGGAAGTGTTTTTTGTGGGTCACCCTCATAGTTTGTGCTTTTTCAACACCGTCATAGCTGGGTCACGCTGGAGATGTTGAGGTCTTATTTGTTCTTGTGGAGGATTCCAGGCCTCACGGTTTGGCTCTGGCTGGTGATTAATTTCCTCCGGTTGGCGGGCACCGAGGGGTGGGTCTTGGTTTCTTCTCTGAAACTCCTGCATACCTTCCGCGATTCGAAGCATCATTCTCTCCATCTGATTGGACAACACATTTTCAACAATTATGCTAACATCGGCTCTAAGTCGAGTGTTGTCCCCAATCGTAGGGGTGTCTGGACTTACTTCCTCGATTACGGGGTCCCTTAGTTCCGACGTGAACGACATTCGATCTTCCTCTGAGATGGAGCTCAACTCGTTTTCTAGTGGTTCAAAATCTTCCAGAGTTGGGTTCGTAGAACGGTTCTGGCTCTGGCTCCTATTCAGAAGGGAATGATTTCTCGGATTTTCGAATCTACTCGCCGGCACTGATGTACGGTTAGTAAGACTAGTCCGGGGAGCTGGTCGCGGTTGATCCTCTGAAGACCGTGGAAACTCTAATGCGGGGTTCCTTGGAATCCTTCCCAGACGAAATGGTGACAGTGACCTGTCTCTAGGCACCGTTCTCATAATTGGGGTTCGATCTTCCGGATCGCCGAACGTGTCGAAGAGGAACTCGATCTCTTCTATCACCTCCTCCTTCATCTTCGCTTGTTCGGTGTCAATAGCATTCAACCGCATCACTCTAAACCGTAAATGACGCAATCGTGAAATTAAGTGTTGCCTTGATTCCTCCATCTCGAATGCCTGCCTGATTGTAATCAATTTTACCTGGATGACCGACAGCTCATCAGCTATTGTTTTGTTGGATTTGATAATTTTTGGACTCAGAATTTCATCGAGTTGGAGTCTTCTTAAAACTCCCCAGCAATTCATATTGAACCTCATCCGCAAGCAAGTCTCCGGGGTTGATATACGACCCTAGGCCAACTTGGTTAGTAGAGTAAGCCATGATGAATCGCGTCAAAAATAGCAATTTCAGATCACTTATTCACCAATTAAAAAACATTAAAAAAAAATCCAGAAGGTTCAAACAAGTAATATCGAAAAGATTTCAATAGCACAAGCGACAGACCGAAAGAAAGTCGGAGGTTGATCAACGTGTTGTTTAATTCTCGGTCGATACATCTTTCCCATCGTTGGTTTCTTTTGTGGTTGCGAATGGGACGGTAGATTGCGAAGCGAGTTGTCGGGATTATTTGAGAAACAGAAAGACTCGCCTTGAGGAGTCTCGCCGGGAAAACTTGCTGATCCACATGCAAGCAGATTAGAACCGCTTGCTTGGCGCATAAGTGGAGAAAGTTGTCTGATTCTGGCCTCGTAACGCGTGAACCGTTACATTTTGGCGCCCAACGCACAACAAATCCTAGCATGGATGGTTTTTGTTAGGCGATTACAGTGGGTCTTAAGGACAGGCAGACCAGAGCGTTGGTACTGCCTTCGAATGGAGTTACGGAGTCTAATGAGATTTTTGGTAATTCTGTCAAGGTTCAGAGTATTGCTCATCTGTCTGGATACTAGCACGTGTTGTTCCCTGGCCCGGGATATCACCTGCTCGATCGAACGCAGACACCGGTTAACGTCTTTGTGCGTCTCCGGAAGGACACCGTAGTCGATAGTGGAGTCGACAGTGGAGTCGACACAGTGATGGAACTGATCCCATCTGACGCGATGGTAGTTGCGTCGGAAAGCTTAGAATCGGTTGACGGATGAGCCTACATCGGCCACCACCGGATAGTGGTCCGAACTCAGCTCCTGGTGGGTCACAGGTTGCGAGATGTTGTCTCCCAGGTTGCTGACGAAGATTTCGATGGTGGAGTGTACGCCAGACCGGCTCAAGCGGATGGGAGAGTCCAGGTCGCAGGTCGTCGTTCAGGATTTTGCCGTTTTGGTTGCGTCGACTGTTGCCCCAAGGCTGGTGTTTGGCGTTCAGGTCGCCAGCGATGATGTACTTCTCACGGTGTGGAGCCTAATGCAAATAGGACCTTTTGAAATGTTTGTCTAGAATTATGTGTGTATTGTTTTTCTGTAATATATTTATTATGTCACGCTCTATTGGTGAAGGGATGTGGGATTCTGAGGCAAGCAATGCATTTGAACATTTCCTGCGGTTTGGTTAGAGAGCGTATAGGGCGTCGTTGGCCGTGGCACATTTCGAGTATGAGAGAATGATTGCAGTTAGATCAAAACTGCTTGAGAAAGATGCAAGTACTTTCGCAGATTACTCTAAATTGCGATAGTATAGGTATGATCGCAGATAAGCAGACATAACACTCTTAAAATACATGCACATGTGCATCAAAATCGCTTTTAACGGTCAATTTAAATGTTTCTTAGTTGGTATTACCACGTAGCGCAAATGAGCTCGTTCATTCGCCGCTTCAATGTGGTCGCACAACTCTTGAACAGCCATCCCATACTCAATAAGTGCTTCCAGCTTATCTCCTCGAGGAGCAGGCATCGCTCTAACCTTCTGCAACAGGGCGTTGATTAGTAACTCAGGACGCCCATATCGCATGCGTAGCGTCTCTAACACTTGCGGAACCGCTGCGGAAAATACTAGACGACTGCGAACAGTATCTAACGCACGCCCTCGCAAGCATCTTTGGTTAGAGGCGAACCATGTTCTCTCCGTGAGTATAACCGCACGTTTCGTGTACTCGAAATTGGAAATGAATATCGGCCATTCAGCTGGATCCCCAGAGAACATAGGAAGGTCTCGAGCCAAAGACTGACGAGAAGAAAGTTGCTGTTGTGTGGGCTGCAGCTCTAGTGCTCTCTCTGGTTCGTCCAAGTTTGATCGTGGAATACCAAGTAATATCGGAAGGTCACCAACCGGCTGCTGCACCAAAGATGGCTGCATCGGAAGCTGTTGCACCGGAAACTGCGTCAGAGGCTGCACCGGAAACTGCTGCATTGGAAGTCGCTGCATCGGAGGCTGGTGCATCGGAGGTTGGTGCATCGGAGGTTGATGCATCGGAGGTTGGTGCATCGGAGGTTGGTGCATCGGAGGTTGGTGCATCGGAGGTTGGTGCATCGGAGGTTGGTGCATCGGAGGTTGGTGCATCGGAGGTTGGTGCATCGGAGGTTAGTGCATCGGAGGTTGGTGCATCGGAGATTGCTGCATCAGAAGCTGTTGCACTTGAGTCTGCTGAATCGAAGACCGCTGTAGTGGAGGCTGCTGCACTGGAGGCTGCTGCACTGGAGACTACTGCACTGGAGGCTGCTGTACTGGACGCTGCTGCACTGGAGGCTGCTGCACTGGAGGCTGCTGCACTTGAGGCTGCTACACTAGAGGCTGCTGCACTGTACGCTGCTGCACTGGAGGCTGTTGCACTGGAGGCTGCTGCACTTGAGGCTGCTGCACTGGAGACTGCTGCACTGGAGGCTGCTGCACTTGAGGCTGCTGCACTGGAGACTGCTGCACTTGAGGCTGCTGCACTGTACGCTGCTGCACTGAAGGCTGCTGCACTGGAGGCTGCTGCACTTGAGGCTGCTGCACTGGAGACTGCTGCACTTGAGACTGCTGCACTGGAGGCTGCTGCACTGGAGGCTGCTGCACTGGAGGCTGCTGCACTTGAGGCTGCTGCACTTGAGGCTGCTGCACTTGAGGCTGCTGCACTTGAGGCTGCTGCACTGTACGCTGCTGCACTGGAGGCTGCTGCACTGGAGGCTGCTGCACTGGAGGCTGCTGCACTTGAGGTTGCTGCACTGGAGACTGCTGCACTTGAGACTGCTGCACTGGAGGCTGCTGCACTGGAGACTGCTGCACTTGAGGCTGCTGCACTGTACGCTACTGCACTGAAGGCTGCTGCACTGGAGGCTGCTGCACTTGCGGCTGCTGCACTGGAGACTGCTGCACTGGAGGCTGCTGCACTGGAGGCTGCTGCACTGGAGGCTGCTGCACTGGAGGCTGCTGCACTGGAGGCTGCTGCACTGGAGGCTGCTGCACTGTACGCTGCTGCACTGGAGGCTGCTGCACTGGAGGCTGCTGCACTTGAGGCTGCTGCACTTGAGGCTGCTGCACTGGAGACTGCTGCACTGGAAGCTGCTGCACTTGAGGCTGCTGCACTGGAGACTGCTGCACTGGAGGCTGCTGCACTTGAGGCTGCTGCACTGGAGACTGCTGCACTGGAGACTGCTGCACTGGAGGCTGCTGCACTGGAGGCTGCTGCACTGGAGGCTGCTGCACTGGAGGCTGCTGCACTGGAGGCTGCTGCACTTAAGGCTGCTGCACTGTACGCTGCTGCACTGGAGGCTGCTGCACTTGAGGCTGCTGCACTGGAGACTGCTGCACTGGAGGCTGCTGCACTTGAGGCTGCTGCACTGGAGACTGCTGCACTGGAGGCTGCTGCACTGGAGGCCGCTGCACTTGAGGCTGCTGCACTGGAGACTGCTGCACTGGAGGCTGCTGCACTGGAGGCTGCTGCACTGGAGGCTGCTGCACTTGAGGTTGCTGCACTAGAGGCTGCTGCACTGGAGGCTGCTGCACTGTACGCTGCTGCACTGGAGTCTGCTGCACTGGAGGTTGCTGCACTGGAGGCTGACGCACCGAAGATTGTAGGGGTGCATATTGGGCTATCGTCAGAGGGAAAGGTGTACTTTGTCTAATAGTCTGTTGCTGTAACAGGTTGTTGCTGATTACCAAATTAGAGCGCGCGTGGGCTAAACGCTGCTCGTTTGAGAGAATTTGCATGGTTGGTTTTGGATTTGGATGAGAGGCATTGTTTTTCTTCGAACTATTGATTGGGTTCTCAGAGGCATGACACTTACCTGGAGGAAACACACTAGGGTAGTGCTTCGGAATGGCACCTAGTACCGATGCGTTGGGCACTTCATCCCGGTTTCTGGCTGTTCCTTCAACATTCAATGCGCCCGCCTGGGTAACTGACGACGGCACCCTTGATAAGCGATGCACGGTTGACTGCATTCCTTCGATTTCCGTCCTGCATAGCCCCAATTGGCGTTGCAAATCATCCAACTGAGGGAAGGTTGGCTCCGATTGCTCTACACAACGCTCCAGTCTCACTCGTAGCTCACGTATCATGTCCCAGGCCTTCCGTTGATCAATATCAACTTCCACGATACTCAGGTCTATTAAATCGCCTTCGCTGGCATTCAACACGGAGATAGTTGGGTCCCGAAGAGGAGAACTGTGTTGTTGGATGTCTAAGTCTGATAGTGACCCCGACGGTAGTTCTTCGGGAACACCTCCTACAGCACCAACATCAGGATCCGTTTGGAGGGGATGAGAAATATGCTGCTGAACCGCTGAAGCTGCTGGCACTTGTTTTTTTCCTGCCGCGCTAATTTCCAGATTCGCGCTGCTCCCAATCCACTCTTGTACCCTTTTTCGACTGTTTCCACAACTCACCCGGCTTCTTTTTTCCTCCTCGATGGCAATTGTAGCTTCCAATAGCTTTCGTTGCTCCAGCAAGAACTTCTTTTCAAGTTCCACTTCCACGCGCAGTTTCTCTAACTCCTGACGCTCGCGCAGACGTGCCATACTCTCTGACAAATGTGACGAAGATCGACTCGCGATGCTGGCTCTCGACATAGCACGAGAAGGTCGTTTGCATCGCATGAATCGCATTGGACCATATTGTCCGCTTCATCTGGCCTATTACAGCCAGCGCATCCATCTTGCTTTCTGGTCATAGAATGATGACTCATCATGTTGAAATTTTGAAGATTGTTGCGACAGCTATAAATGAAAACCAAGGCACCGACTTCTGTAGCTAGATTTATTTACGCTTCAAACTGCAACAGTAGGTTTAGTTTAGTTTATGATTAGTTTTAACATTAGGATAATCACTTACATTTCAGTGGCCCTTGCAATTCTATCGGCCTTTCACTTTCACTGTCCAACTTCAGGTAAGGTTTAGGTTCTACGTAGTTTGTAAGATTTGCATTATATTTATATTCTAGTTCTAGTTTTAATTCAATAGCCTTTCTTACCTTCACTAGTTCTTAGTTAGATAAGACACTAGATTTTAGACACTAATTAGTAGAATTAATAGAGTAGCACTCTAGAATAACGAATTAAATAAACTTTCAATATAAACGTCCACCTCATGTGGATCGACAAGTTTTTGTTCATCTATTGTCCATTTGTTTTGATTTACAAAATCCCACTCATGACATATTATCAATAGCGTCGGCTTATCAGTCAAGCGGTGGAACCGGTTGGGATAGAGTGACCAACTCGACGGTACCGGTGTTAACAATGGTATTGTAACTAATATTATATGTGCTTCATTTTGATTTGGGATAAGTGTTTGAACTATGGCTCGGGATTTCCACTGTAGCGTGCTTCTGTTGTGACATATCCAAACGTAATTTTGTGGGACGACATAGTGGAAACGTGTGGGCGTAGTTGGAGCATATACCCTATGTAATTTAAAAATGGATACTAACTTCAAAGTGGAGCATTTTAGTAACTAGTGGATGTCACCTGGGACGAACTAATATATAATAAATATAGGTCAAATTCAAAAACAACTTTAAACACGTTTAATTTTAGATTACATGCACAAGTGCAAGTACTTAATGAAGCATGGGCTATAATTGATTAGGTGGATTAGAGATTTGAATTATTTATTCAATTAGGCTAATGAGGTAGCATAATCAACAAACGAACTTAAATAAGAAAATTTAGACAGCCTAATAACATTAAGTAGATTACCACAAAGACAACTAGCCTTTAAAGCAACTGGCAAGTAGCCTTTTCAGATATTGTCTGTTTATTTTGATGGTTGCTTTAAAATATCAATTTGGTATGGATGAATCAGTGGGAGATGGATTTTTGGTTTCTAGTACTATGTGTCATTTCTTCAAAACCCCCCAGTAACCGACCGCTTCAATCCCTTCCTTTTCCCATGGCGTTCAAGTGGTCCGCATAGACTATTCAGCCATTACCCTTCCTTTATCCTCGGCTTTGGATTGACTTACGCTGCCATTGCCCCACCAAACGCTGCAAAATGAAAATGAAAATAATACAAACCGGTCGATGACTTCGAGCCTTTGACCAACGGTCAAGGTCTTCAGCTATCGTTTCTCAAAACCTTCCATAGCGAACCACTTACTAGTGAACTGATAATTCGGAATGATTCAATTTTCACAGAACACGGAAGTTGTGTCAGTTTCACATCGAGTCATGGAAACAAAATAACACTGCACGCAACATTAACTTTATAGACATATCGTCTTATGGACTTATGAATCCATCGAGTTAGAGAAAATTTCAAGTTATAGAAAACCGAGTTGTGGAGAGCTTACTGTATGATCAGAAAATACTAAAGTTTAGGTTTTTAGTATGTAACTATTAGCAGCGCCGGTGGTGTAGTGGTAAACGTGATTGCCTCTCACCCGAGCAGGCCTGGGTTCAATTCCAGTTGGCGCCGCCGGAATGTTCTGAGGCAGAAAATCTCTGATCACGCCTTCCTAAGGGAAGTAGAGCTGTTGGTCCCCGGCTCATGAGTTTGATGGGCCGATAGGTAGGGTCCAGGTGTAGGAGCTGCCTCCCTGGCATCGGTAGCATTGGTGCTCAACACGGAAAACAAGATCGACAGAAAACAAATCAAGGAAAAAAAAGAATATAACCATCAGATTTTATTTATAAAGTAGTATTCGGCATGCAATTTTTATTTATTATTATTTTGATAATTTCCTTTTTATGTCATACAAATCCATATGAACATTTCTACCCGGGTGTGCTATACTCCCTGCTAGAAGTGTAAGCCAATTTAATGGGAGCAGAATCCCTCTCATACCATTTCGACTACTGGCTGTGGTTGTTTTTTTTCTTATAAAAATGCTCACGGTTTGGTTATCATCAATCAAGGTGGAAGCCTTTTTAACGATGATTTCGGATTAAATATAGAACTCTCTCTTAACGTTTGCAATATTTAAAATCTCAATTTTAAATTTAGACCATCGAGTTATGATTCTCCAGTAACTCAAAAATTGGATGATCCAATCAATTGAACAACCTCAAGGAAGAAGCCACACTGCACTCAGCAATTTAATGAAATTTAATCTTATTTCAACATGCGTGCTTCAAATTTCGCAACGAGATATACGATGGCCTACATTTGATTTCATTGTATAAAGAACCGCCTGTGCCTTACTTCTGTACCTATGTGCAGCAAGATTCTATCGCAGTGCCCGAGGGCCACAAAAACCTATTCCACTCTCGGGCCCATTCGCATGGCTGGCTGGTTGGCTGGCATGTGAATTCTGATAAACGGCCCTAAAAACCTGTCGACCTACCTGGACGACCTGGGCACCGACGACGACGACGACGCATGCATGCATGCTTTTATATTATAGCACCATCATTCTCCCATATATTCAGACATACATATTTGCATGTGAGCTTTTGTTTTCTCCAGCATAAATTATCGATCGATTACATCATGCGATGAAACATGAGTTTGCTGTCGTTTATGGGTAAACCGGGCCGTAAATCAAAAGTTAGTCAACAAGTGCATCGCCTCTTCTTCGGCTGCCCCGTTTGTTGCTGGTGCCATGAATACAATATATAGGTACCTACATATATTGCCTATATAGAATCATTCTACTTTATAGTAGACACGTGTTTATGCGAACAAGTACAATATATCTATATCTACCTGTCGAAGAGAGGCATCCGGAGAGAGTAAACAGTAGGTTTGTGGGTCAGATTTTTAAAGATTCGATACGGTCGGTTCACTGCATTGAACACAGTTCATTGAAGCAGCAGAATGTCTCCTCAGGCTATCGATGATGGGATCGATTGGAATACCTTGTAGTAGCTGGGTGGTTAGGGTGGACCTTCAGTTAACGAACCTATTTTGAAACCGATAAGTCCTGTGAGCAACATGCCTCCCCTCTAACAAGGAAATGACATTAACTTTACCGATTAAATGATTTATGCATACCGCCGTACCACAGCCTTCACAAAGGTTAGGTTCTTCAACGAGGTCGATCTTCCAATATGTAGGCGAACCCAAGGCCGTCTTTGAACCGGTGCTCATTTCCTCGTTGGTTGGTTGGTTGGTAGGTTGGTTTAGTGCAATATCTTTTCTCCATCAGCAATAAGCTACCGATTCACTAAAGAAGCATGATACACGATGGGGAGGGCGAGGACCACTCGAGAATTGCTATAGCTGCCCGCTGCAGAGGATGCACCTTTGTCGGTATTTTATTTATGCCTTATTTAATGAAAGGCTTTGAATAAGTAAGGAGATTAAGTGTTTTTGATTAAAATTTAATGCGTTGCCTCCCGGTCGATCGGGGATGGAGCGGCTTACCCAACGGTACGGTATTTAAATAGGGACTGTCAGTCACAGCCAGGGCCGGTCGGTTGGAGATTTGGATGAATGGGATGCTTTTTTGTAGTCATTGTCATTGATGTGTGAATTTATATATAATATATGCAATTTGAATTTTTAACGGTGGTTGATTTCATGTACGTCTATATACTTTGAATCACATAATTTTGCCCAAAGATAAGCGATTTTATCGTAATTTGTATTCCAGCCTTTTTGGATCACATCAGTCGAGAATGACAATCTTCAGTTAAGTTCCCATTTAACTAAATCAACATCCTTCATTGTTCAATAACCTTT